AGTGGAGGGTTGTTAGTTAGGGTAGGATGGTTAGGTTGTGGTTGGACTCAATGATCTTTGAGGTCTTTTCAAGCCTGAGTAATTCTATGATTCTATGATTATGTCTGGGCAAATGCCCTCCCTTGTCACTCCCACACCCATTAGACTCTGACTGACGAAGGCCCTACTCTGAACACCTACTCCATTGCTCTTACCTATCAAGGCACTATCAGTGAGAAACTATCAGTGAACTCAAGCCAGCCTTGCTGGATAAGCTGGGGGAGGGAGAGCAGTTTGGATTCACAAAAAATAAGAAGGATCTATTTCATCTGAGTGAGCAAAGACTGAATGTATTACTTCCTATGAGAGAACTTGAATTTGCCTCTATCACCGCTAAAAATTTTATGTTTCAATATCCAGGAATAGCTGCGTCCCAATCTTTTCCCCAGAATATGCCCCAAGAACAGTACAATTTGAGTATAATATTTTGAATGTTTTCCACTGTTTCTGCAAGAAAAAGAACAGTGATTATCTCCACTTGCACTGAACAGTTTGGGGTTGTTTTCTAGTTTCAGAATTAGTAAAATTAACTGTAGTCTTGAATAGAGAAATTTTCTTTTTTCTCATCTTTGGTTTTTCAGAAAGAGGTTTAGGGTGGAATGTCTCGCTGGCTTAAAAATGTCTGGGACCAACTAATTAGCTCAGGAGCAGAAGTGCGTTTGTTGCCCATTCCAAACCCATGGAAGTGAAAGTAATTATTACTGAAGGGAAAGCCTGTAGTTCTTGTTGAAGAGACTTAAGAAGACAGATGTGTCACTCACCAGCTTATAGAAAAACTATGTATAAACTGTTGGGAGAAATAAAAGGTTTGCCAGCCCCAGTCACTGGGTCTCACTGGAATGGCACATAAGGGGTCACGCACAAGGGTGACACTCATCACAGCAGCTCCAGGGCCAGCAAATGGGTGCTGGAGAATTTAATACAAGCACAACCTTGCAGCACAGATAGTTCTTGTGTGGAGACAATCAGATCATCAGAGACAAAACAACACAACTCCTATTCCCCAAAATAAGTTAATAAAATGCGCGCTGCAATCCTGTATTTATCATGTTTATAATACTTTACAGGGTCTGTATGAACCCTCGGGATTCAGTCAGCATGAGACAAAAAGCTACTCTGTGACTGCTGCATTTTTTCAGGCCTTAGAAAGGAAAGCTCTAGGGATTTCAAAAACCCCAGAGCCAGCAGAGATTCCACAGTTGAATTTGTGAAGTGAGACAGCTGACCGAATATAAACCCAATTTTACTTCACAAATGAGAAAGCCATGAGTCTAAGCTTGTTTTTCTCATTGGTGGATGATTAATGATTTTCAAACACTTTAAAAATACGAATAGTGCTTGATCAGAAAAACAAAGGCTTCATCTGACCTAGAAAAGAAACAAAATCTTGCTGCTCAGTTACAAAGCCCAGGTGTGGTCTGGCTGTACTATCCAAACACTCACTGAGAGTTATAATAAGGGTTACCCTGCCAAGTGGGGATATGTGGTACATTTGTCTTTCCAGCAATAGCTCACTGCTGTCATTTTAAAGAAAAGTAGACTCCCCAAAGCATCCTTTTGCATCAGATGTTGCCTGTGTGTGTGAAAGTGCTCCATCCCTCGGAGCAGCAAGATGAGCAATGTATCAAAGAATGACAAATAATCACACAATATGCAGAGAAATAGCTCCCAGGAACATTTACTCAAAGCCAGCAGGGCACTGGCTGTGACCACAGGGCAAGGCAGTCTCTGTTTTGACAGAGACATTGTATGAATTAATCAAGAAAAAATGACTTCAGCAGCATCCAGTCCTGGACTTGGGGCGCTCAGAGGCATGAGTGCTGAGGGGAATTCAGTACATCCCATGTTTAAGGATAAAAGCTTTTTCTGTTGTCTCTATTCTAGCAATGCTAATCTGCTGTTTTGCAGTGAGTCAGTCCTATTTTGCTGAACTAGTAAATTAAAATGTCATCTTGAAAAGAATGTCAGTGGAGACTCAAAAGGACAGAATCACAGAACCACAGAATGGTTAAGTGACAGGACCAGGGGGAATGGTTTCAAACTAAAAAATAAGTTCTTCCTACTGTCTGATCTAAATCTAACCTCTTTTAGTTTAAAACTATTCCCCCAGGTATTGTCACTATCAGACTGCGTAAAAAGTCATTCCCCAACTTTTTTATAAGTCTTTAAATACTGAAAAGCTCTAATGTGACATTCACCAAATCACAAAATCATGGAGATTGGAAGGGACCTCTGGAGATCATCTAGTCCAATATCTCTGCTAAAGAAGGTTCATGAAATCCACAATTTTACTGTGGGTGCACTCTAAACTCATCCTTCATATCATTGATGATGATGATAAATAGGAATAGATCCGATATTGGTCCCTGTGTTACAGGCCTCCAACTAGACTTTGCACCACTGACCACTACCCTCTGGGTCCAACTATTCAGCCATTATTGATTCACTTCACTATCTGCTCATATAGCACATACTTCAACAGTTTTTCTGGGAGGATGTTTTGGGCAATAGTGTCAAAGGCTTTACTGAAGTCCAGGAAGATGATAATCTACTGCTCTTCACCTATTCATCAGGCTGGTGATTTCATTACAGAAGCTTAAGAAGATGGTCAGACATGATTTCCCCTTGGTGAATGAATGCTGGCTAATCTGGATGATTTTTTTCTCTTCCGTGTACCTAGGAATGGTTTCCATGATGAAAATTCCATCCCCTTCTCAGGGATGAAGGACAGGCTGTCTGACTTGTAGTTCCCTGGATCCTCCTTCTAGTCGTTTTTCACCTTGCTTTTCTCCAGTCTTCAGGTAAAGATTATAGAATGACCTTGCAATCACATCTGCCAGCTTCCTCAGGACTCATGGATGCATCTCATCACAGCCCACAGACTTGTGGATGTCCAGTCTGCTCAAGTATTCCCTGACCTGGTCTTTTCTTTCAAAGGCGTGTCCTCCCTGCTCCAGCCATTCAGCTTGGGCTCTGGGATTCCCAAAGGCCAGTCTTACTGATAAAGTCTGGAGCAAAGAAGGCATTCACTTCCTTAGACCTTTCTACTTTCTTGGGTAACTAAGTCTCCCCTTCTCTTCAGGAGAGGGCCCACATTTTTTGTAGTCTTCATTCTGTAATTGAGGTGCTTTGCAGAAGCCCTTCTTTATGCCCATTGTATCCCTGAACATACTAAATTCTATCTGAGCTCTAGCCTAATAGCTTGATCCCTGGCTGCTTGGACAATGTCTCTGTATTCCTCCTATGTTACTCGTCCTTGCTTTCACTCTCTGCTTCCTTCTTCTGTTCCTTCTTGTGTTTGAGTTTGGCCAGAAGCTTCTTGATCATCTGTGCAGGCCTTCTGGCACTTTTGCCTGTCTTATTTTTTTGTTGGGATGCATCACTCCTGAGCTAGAAGGAAGAGATCCTTGAGTACTGACGAGCCCCTTGGGCCCCTCATCCCTCTCAGGCTTTTGCCTGTGACATTTGCTGCATACACTCCAAAGTTTTATATTACGTTACAAGATTAAGATGTCTGTGTTTTCCAGCTAAGAGAGAAAAAAAATGAAAGGGCAAAAAATTGGAAAAGAAACTGGGTACCTTTTCAACAAAACTGCAGAACAAAAAACAAGTTGTGGTATGTGGCTGGTCCACCTAGTAACTGCTGGAGAACCAAAGCAGTGTTACAACTAGTATCAACCACCTTTAAATAAACCAAAGCAGGAGTTTCTCATTTAAATTAGTTGTCTTCTTTTATGAAGGTGTTAACTTAGTTCAGTAATTCTCATATGGAGCTGAAACAGCACCTTATAAAGCAAACTGCTAGCACTGTCATCTCTCTTTAAGCTGGTCTCTGTGGGCATACCTGGTGACACATCATAAGAAGAGGGAATTACTGCCCTCCCGTTCTTCTCCAGACCTATAGTGTACACACTCAGTGCTGGCACACGGATGTCAGGTTGCAGAGAGATTTCCACATTTTTTTTATTCTGCAGATTTTTTATTCTACAGTAAATAATTCTTCAGTTGTGTAGGCACACACAAGGCATCCTGATCATTACATGTGCCTCTTGCCTATGAGACAGAAGAAACAATCTGATGTAAGTCACTAAAAAATGTGAACTGAAGGTGGTGACTATCTCAAGTTACATCTTTTCCTGCTCTGTGAAATCTCATACTGCTATTCAGTAGCCCTCAAATGAGTAAAAAAATAATTGCAAGTGTCAAATTCAAACATCAGCAAAGGGCAAGATTTGAAAAGTGTCTGCATCTTAGACTCAACTTTATACATGTCTATTTAAGAAAAGCACTCTATGCTACTAGCCTGTAGACAGCATCATAAATAATCAGTGTTCAGTTCAAAGATCCACAGTATCAGGCAGTATTCATTTTATCATTTTTAAAAAATGAAAGAAAATCTAAATGGAATATAAGCCATTTATTTTTTAACTAATGTCACATACAATTCTGTGTTGATAGCCATTTAACTGCCAGCAAAATAATAGCAAAAAATCTGATAAAATATATTCATACAGTCTTTCAAATCCTGCATTATATTTGATTTCAAATACAGAAACATCCAAACTTCATCTGTATTCAGCTTATTTGGTTTGCATCTTGTACAGCTTTTACAGTTTATAACTGCATAAGTGCTGATGTATAAAGATGTAATTTGCCAGTGTTGATCATGATTTATATTAAAATAAATAAGCAAATCTACTGAGATGATACAAACTGAGCAAACAGAATTCATCCTAATTATGCATGATCTGAGGGATTCAAGGAAGCAAAGTTAAGGTATGAAATTTCCAGATGAAAAGCAATCTAGAAGCAATGCCCTCACCATCTTCTCTGATCAATTTTATCCTGCTATTAATATTACTCAGATAAAGTAATAAAATAAGATGCTTAAAGGTAACTGATCTAACTAGTAGGAAAAAAAAATAGTTATTGATCTAAAATGTAATAAGATGGATTTTCAGATGTGTCACCAATGCAGGGATTCTTCACGCTTAACACTAATCTTCAAAAAGTTAAGCACTAGGTTAGCTGTCTGTTCCCTGCCTGTTCAACGGAGATTCAGCTTATGCAGGATATTGACTTTAAAAGGATCCATCCATAATAAACAACTTTTTTTTTTCAGAATATAAAAACAAATGTCGATTTTTCTCCTTCAATAAGAGGGAAAGAGTAGAGATGGACATCTTAAAGCAGCCAGTGAATGATTATATAGTTCAGATAATGTGTGATGAACTGAGTCAGGTCAGTGAAGATTTCTAGAGGTCCGTGTCCCATAACAAGGGAATTCAAGGACCTATCTGTGCTTGTCATTTTGTCCCATTAGGGCACAATTTAGTGTCCATAGACCAACAGAACTTCTTTCTGTGTCTGATCAGCACAAAAATTAACCTCTCGTATCAGACACATGCATCCAGAAGTTGTGTTATCCAACTTTGCAAGTAGGTTGAGTTCCTTTTCCTTACTCTTATGGTGGTGTGGATACAGACCTCACAAATGGCAGCACTAAGTCTGTTTGCTGAAAAAATGAGCTATCCTTAAACGTACACAAAGTGCTGCTCACGCTGTGCTGAGATATGTACTTTCTTTGTAAGGTTTTGTCAGCCGTGAGCCCTCTGAAACTGTGCCAGGATTCAGAGAATCAAGAGGTCTATCTGAAAAGATGGTGCTCATTTCCTGCCCCTTCTAGGAGGCTCTTGAGACACATTTCTATGCTCTACAGTACAGCCATGCAGAATAGCTCCTTTTCAAGTCACTCTTTGGCTGGGGGTGATGCTGAGGACTCAGCAAGTTAGTTGTTCCCATGTTTCTCAGACCCAGGGCTTTACCAGGGACCAGTAGCTATCACAAATCAACACTTCAGGTGTTGGTAACAGTGCTGGTGAGAAATTTTTCTTCAACAAACCTTGCTGTGCTATTAAGGCACCATTTTATACTTGAAAGGCTTAAACATGAAGAAGAAAACGTTTCAGCTCTTCAGGAAGGAGAAGGCCAGTTATTTTCTGATGCTGCTTATGTCCAAAGCACCTTCTGATGCACAAGCGGCAGAGCTGCATCAAGGACAGCGGCCCTGGAGAGAGACAGGAGACTTGTTACACATATGGCCTTATCTCCCCAAGGCCCACCACAGACATGCAGCCCCCAGCACACTTGGTAGTGGAAAGCCATGCCTATATCCACCAAAGGATGCCAACCCACCATTCGGTTAAAGCCTCTTCACTATCATTACACACTCATAATAAGCTTTAACAGAATAATTCCTTTCCTTTTTAACTTGCACAGGTGTTAAACAGCTTGTGTTGTTTGTGAAGGGATGATTGATGCTTCCTTCAAAGGCTTCCCCCCACAGACCTTCATTGAGATCCAGGATTCCAGCCCACTGTTTGAAACTTATTTCATAACAGAGATAAACACATAGCAAAAGAAATGCTACATAATCCTTATTTAAGCCTTCCTGATTAACCAGTTCCATGCTGATAAATACAATCCATGCTGAAGAATCTAGTGCTATTTTCAACCCCTTTATTTAAGTATAATGACATTAAGGGCTTATTTGGGAGGCTTATCCTTTTCATGAAAGGGTAGATACTGTGCAGTGCTTTTGATGGCAGCACCCGTCACTATTCAGATCTCAACCTACCACTTGTACAGCCCTGTGCTGCATATGATGTTGACCAGCACTGACAGCAGTGAGGGACTTCCAGGGGAAAAGGAGATGTGAAGGGCAGATCACAGAATCATAGAATGGCTTTGGTTGGAAGGAACTTTAAAGAGCATTAAGCTTCAACCCCCTACCATGGGCAGGCTTGCAAATGCAAGCAAGCAGTGAGAACAAATGAAGGGTTGGTTATCACGCATGTGGAGGAGATGATAAGAAGAAAATGTAGAAAGCAAGAGGGAGATGGGTGGGGACAGCATTGGTACCAGCAGTCATGAGTGAGTGGATAAGATAGTGGTAACCAGAGAAGCTGAGGTGGAGAAATGAAGTGTGGTGAGGAGAGAATGCAGACTACAGCACAAAAAGCAGGTGCAAGCAAGCTCTTCACAACCATTCAGAAACCATATATGGGTTGACAGCAAGCCCTTTGCTGCACATGTTGGACCCTGTTGCAATGCCAGCATGGCATGTGGTGGTGTGCACAGGGAGAGTGGTGCAAGATTTGTGTGCTGGACCTATGAGGCCTGTAAGGAACTATGAGGTCTGTGATGAGCTATGAGGTCCATGAGGAGCTATGGGGCCCATGAGGAAATTCTGATCCCTGCAAAATCAGAGGATGCAATGTGCACACCCCTCTCCTGGGTCGCAACCATTCAACAGCTCCAGGAGTCAGACATCATCTGCCCATCAGATATCACCCTACTCAGGAAAAGACATGTTGGAGAACATCAGAAAAACACCAGTCAGCTGCAAAATACCCTGCAGGCATTCATCATTTCTAACTTCAATTGCTGAATTTTGCTTAGAAAAGATCCTTTTTTGCCCAAGCCCTTAGCTCAGCCATGGCAGTTTTCATGACAGCTCCATAGGGTTTCCCTGGGATGTTTTTTTATCTCAAATAAACAGGACACATGTGGTGCCTTAGGAGTCACAAGGCTCATGCAGCAAGGATTTGAGTTTGAAAAGATCACCACTTCGTGCATCATAGATTAGGCTGGGAAACCAGATGTCTGCTGCACATACATAATGTGCACAGCACAGCTGTTTCCACGTTATTATTTTCATATTACATTTCCACGAAGGGCCTGATTCATCACTTTATTATTCCACCTTTACCTTGCTGTACATCTGTTTATGACAATAATCATGTCTACACTTAGTAGAATTGTGGGTCAGTGAATTGTTTAAAATAATGAAAATCCAGATTATTTATTACTTCGTCTGGCTTACTGACTGAATGAGAGCACCTAAAGAACACAAGAACTCCAACACTAAAGAATTTATTCTAATTTCCCTCAAGAATAGTAAGTAAAATGCATCTCCCCCATTCATTAAAGCGTTTGTAACCAGTCAAACAACATAGACCTGGAACAATTTTATTTGCATGTTCTAAATAAGCACTTCCTAAGGTTTAACCCTACAGCTTGATACTTTTAGAGTACACAATACATAACATTGGCCTTCCAAGAAAATCTAGTGTATATATACACGTATTCATTATATCATTCTTCTGTAGTTTTCCTTAATTCCCACAAAACAATGAATATAGTCTCATTTTAAAGATACTTTTGCACCTACACAAGGTTTTGTCCCCAGAATAAAAGTAAATACCTATCAACTGGAAGATCACTGTTGCAATTTCTAATGTATGCAGTATTTGGCATGTGTCTAAAAGTTGGCACACCGTAAAAATTCAGGATCCTAGTCCTAGTGTTCACCAGATAAACACAATTCTTATCAGAGCTGATTTTCTATTCCCATTTGTTGGCATGTTCCAGACAACATTTCTGGCTTTATTCCCATCCCAGACTCAAGAGAATTTTTTTTACCCTGAGCTCTGTGTTGCATCACACTGAAAGTTCAATATGGTTTCTCCCTGATGCAGTGTTCATAGACCTGTTGGTCAAAAGATGGGTAGTCATCACTGTTATCACCACTATACTCTGACACAGAAGGAGACAGTGTCCAAATATCAGCAAATTCAGGTAGCCTTTCTTATTCTGTTTTGTAGAACTACAAGTACAGAATACTACAGCCTTGTGCAGCACTTTGTATGATTTTTCCCTACAGCGTCCCACATGAAGGAAAAAAACAAGTGCTAAGAGACACCTTCTTTCTGCAGGAACAGTCGACCCAAAGGGCTGCCAGGTGGAACCAGCTCCATCGGCCTTTTGCTTTCAGCATTCTTTGCCCAAATGTCTGCTCCGAAGTCAATCAGCAGCATCACCAGCTCTACACTGCAGCTCCTGGCAGCGGCGTGCAGTGGGGACTCCAGGCCCTTGCCGATGTTCACGTTTGCACCTGAATATGAAGAGATGACAAGGAATAATTTCCACTTCCTGCATTAGCTGCAATTTCTCTGAACAATCCATAAATACTGTAGCATTCCCCTAGAGGTGGATTCCTGTCCTTTAGGTCTTGGTCCCACAATTTGCTTACGGACTACTTGTACTGGCTGTGAAGCAGTGAAGTTGTGAAAATGATCCCAAAGGATCAGTGCACAAAGGAAGTCTTTCACACACAGCCCAGCCCACAGACTTCTTGAAGTCTCACAGAAGAGTAGTTCCACCTATCGATCTAATTTGCTCCCTATCCCAACTCACCATTCCTTTAAAATGCATGCAAGGTTTCACCCTACTCCATAACAGAGGCTTAAGCTGATTTCCAGGTGCTGAGTTACCAAGCCTGCTCAGGAAAAACAAATGTGAGGATGGAAAAGTTTTGAGGCCCTTAATAGTGGAGAATATAAATACTCTCTGATCCCCAAGTGCTCCTCAGTCTGTTATCCTGAGCTAATGCCTCACAAAACGTGTGAACTGCAGAACCAATTCATAACTATAACATTTTTGAAGCACATTTTCTTTCCTACAAACAGGAGGCAGCAAAGACAAAAGGCAAAGAACAGAAAATAATAGGCAAAAGTGAATTCTTAATCTATATTTGATTTATTTAGGAAAAAATCATTGTGCTAAATCATGCATAATGTCATCTAAATGCGTCTTTTTTTCAAAGGAGTTTGTTCGGCTCACCATTTCTGTATGAGCTATGTGCTATATTCTGTTATGCAGCCCCTCTTTATTAGAAGAGATGCACTGCCATAGGTAAGAAATGGCCTTGCATAGTTATCCAAGTGGTTAGATTTGTAGTTGGATTTATCTGAGGAAAAGCATACAGTGCTAAATGTTTTTACTCCATGTTGGAAATGTTTCACACATTTTATGAACTTTGTAAGAATTAAAACATTTGCAAAAGAAGTATAAAAGTATATATACAAGTATAAAAGAAGTATATAAGTTTAATCATTTCTGTTGAGTAAAGAGGATGAAAGAAAAAAACAATGTATCTCGCTACTCTCTTCAAATAGCTACAGAAGCACAAATACATGGACACTGGAGAGGATGGTGCTGTTCTGGGCACCACCAGCAGCATGAAATCCAGGATGATACAACTCCCATCACTTTGTTGGGGGTTGTAAAGCTCATTTCCTGGTCAAGAAGGTCCTGTTTACCCTGCTCCCCTCTTTAGCACAGAACTGCCGTTGAGACAAAAACTTCTCCAGATCCCAAAGTAGGAATTTCTCCAAATCTTTGCTGAAAAGACAAACATTACAGGGAAGGAAAATACACCATCCTTTATTTTTCCTTTTACCTGACTCAAGTAGCTTTCTGGCACAGTCCACTTGTTGGTTCTCACAAGCTACATAAAGTGGAGTACCCAGATGGTTGACGTTGTGATCTATGTTCACCCCATGGGTTGTGAGGAGCTCAACACACTGCACATGACCTAAAAGGGGTAAAGGGAGAGTCAACTTGCAGAGATCAGGCATTTTGCAATAGTCCAAATTCTCTGATGCAGAAGTGTGATTTGGCAAAGATTCATTGTTTTATCAAGAGGTGATTGTAATACATGGATCTGCTATCCTCACTCCAGTGTTTTCAATCAGAAAAACAGGAACTGCAAATCCAGTTTGAAAATATGCTAAAGCCCCTACATTATATCCGACTCATTACAGATATCTACTGAAGATGAGATGAATCATGCTGGACTTCTCTTCTTTTGAAGACGACCAGACTACTCTTGAATCTCTATGTAAGAGGCAGCTGATTTGGACAGTGCATCCCCTTCCAGGGGTCACCACATGAACCCAGAGGCCCTGAGAGCAGCAACAAGTGGCCCTTGGTGAGCACGAGGGGTGGGAGCAAGTGCAACGCTTGTGATGAGAGTAAGAAGGAAGGAACAATTCCTGGCCTAAATCATGAAGATCTTCTTTACCTCTCTCTTTCACTTCCCCAAACTTCTAGCAAGTTACAAAACAGTGCTGACACCCATGAGGTTACCTCTCTTAGCAGCTTCATGGATGGGGGATGCCAAGTCACAGGGCGGGTGCAGGTTGGCCCCATGTTGCAGCAGTAAATTCAAACAAGCCACACTGCCACTGACACATGCACTGAACAAAGGAGTGTGCCAGTCAACAGTAACCCCATTCACCTGGGGGAAGAATAAAAACAACACTGGAACAGGTTGCCCAGAGAAGTTGTGGATGTCCCATCACTGTAAGTGTTCAAGGCCAGGTTGGATGAGACTTTTGGCAACTTGGTCTGATGGGAAGCATCCCAGCCCACAGCAGGGGGGTTGGAACTAAATCATCTATGATCTAGCATTAAATTGTCATAATAAAACATGTTAACACTGGAGACAGTATCTTGCCCATGATGCACTTACCTTAGCACCATGCTTTAATAGGAAATTGGCACAAGCAGCATGACCACCTAAGCAGGCTTCATGGAGAGGAGACACATGGTCTGCAGTAACAAGATTAACATCACTCCCCTGATGAAAGAAAATAACATTACAGCCAACTACAAAACAAATAAACAACAACAGCAACAACCCATCACTCTTCCATAACGATCCTTGAAGATTGATTTAATCACAACTTTCTCAACTGCTTGGAGTTACTAGGTAAGCAATGAAAGAGTCTGTGGTGCTTCAGCTGGAACAGACACTGGCACATCATACCAGAGGTCATGCCTTTTACACATCACTAATCAATACAGACAGCTGTGGTCAACAAACTGTCCAACGGAACAATGCAGACATCCTTCTAGGCATTCTGCTTTATTTTACTTCAACTACATCTAACAAACTAACTCCACTAACAGCTAACAAACTCTGAAATAAACAAGATTAGAGCTCGCAACATGGCATGCCTGCCTCTTGTTTACATGTCTGCTCATGTCTTTGTCCTCCAGTCTGTGACTGCTTGAATGGAACAAACTCAGAAGTACTTTTGATATATATATTTGATATACTTTCTCTGATTATGGCACCTTTTGAAGAAAAGTTGGCTTCTTCGTTAGGAACCATTGAATTGACTGTACTACAGGATCTTTTCTATCAGTCTTCATGATCCAAAAGGTTCAAGTGGAAGAGTTTCCAATCACTACTCTCTTTCCTCCACTGGCTAAATCCACTGATTTTGAGGGAACAGAGCAGTGAGGTTCAGAAATTTCTTCTCCCCAGCTATGCCCTTGTTTGGGAGGAGCAAGGCCTTTAAGCACTTTAAGCACTTCAAAGAGCACCAGAAACGGATGTCTGGGAGCCTGAATTGAAGCCTCAGCTGGAGTCTTGTCTGTGTCTGGAGCTGCCCCCAACAAAGGCACCAAGTGCTGGTCATGGGCACAGGAGCTGCAGAACGAGCCCTGCGGCTGCCCACAGGAACAGCAGCTGCGGTCCTGTTGTCTACAACCCAAGATGCAGGTCTTCAGGTTAGCATGCAGAGTTTGTGTAAGGCAAACAAATGTAGAAAAAAATATGTTACACATAGACTTTTGGTCAACATGACTTTCTCACTCCGGATGTTTCAGAGTAAAACACAGACTGCATTCAGCAACTGAACCCAGTAGAGATCATATTGACTTGGCAGAGCAATACCTGGTTGATGAGCTTCTTCAGAGCAAGCAGACGCCCATGGATAGATGCATCATGTAAAGGAGACCAGTCTGAAACAAAGTCTGCACAAAGAGAAAGACAGAAAAAATGTCTAACATTTCCATGGACTGTTTCATCAGTGTACTTTACTTCAACTGTGTGAACCAGTAATCCTCCTCTAATTTATTACTTGAGCCACCAAGCTTTTCTTGGAGAGGCCGCAGGGAGGGAGTGAAAAAACAGGATGGGTTCACTCTGGGTGTGTTTTGAATTCATCCCATGTTAGTGCTGAGCAGCTGTGTTCCCATTCAGAAGACAAGAGAATGATTTACAGAACACCACCTTGTTCTGACTGAGCTTGTCTCTTGGTTTGAATTATTTCCAGTGCCTTTGTTTTCACAAGCTCATTACACTTTAACAATTAGCTCAAAAGAAGCATGCTTTGGAAAGGGTACAGCTGCTCAGTCATTCACCCCTGCTCAGAGATGGGCTCGATTCAACAATATGTAACTAGAGACTGTACCAAAGTACAGGGAGACAAATTGTGTTACCTGTTGATTTTGTGTCTCAGTTTTCAGTCTAGTGTCAGCCTCTGCAGTGGTGCATTTTAAATAATAGCTATATTGTTGGCACTGTGGAAGCCATAAAAAGTAAATGTAGATGAAAGCTCAAGGAAATGGTCTGCCTTTTAGCAGATTTTAGTTTTCATGCTTGAACATTTAGTGGAGGAAACAAAGCACTCAGCTTTAGGTAAAGCAGATTTGGTGAAAAACACCGTATTTCCAGAAAGGTTTTTCTTTAAGGAAGAGACATGATTTCACCCTAAGAACATGTGGACTGCATGATCTCTTGCTGCTCTGCCTTACTGGGCCAAGGCAAAAGAGCAAGAGCAAGAGGACTTGCAAATGACCTGTTCTCTGATGCTGAAGCAAATGAAACTCCTCAGCAGTATGGGAACACCTACCACGACCCTGAGATCTACTTGTGTCTCAGCACACGATCCCTCCATTTCTCCAAGGGACAGTGCAGGGAATGGGATACCCACCGAATGGTAGTAAGGACACAAGCCCAGGTCACAAAGGGAGTAATTTTACTTAGATATGTCATAAGGAAAGTATTCCTACAACTATGCTAAAAGTATTCATATTCTAAGTGCGTGTATAAAAAAAAAAACATATTTTCTCTTACTAGGTCTTATGCAAAAGACTGACATAAGGGCATTATGGCATATGGTTTAGGAAGCAAAAAAAAGGTTTGCATCAGAAACAGAATTCTAACTCTTACTTTGAAGTAATCTTGATATTTCAAAACTGATGTACAGAAAAAATACCACATGCCAAAAATAATTTCTGGAAATGAGTCAGCATAGTTCTGGTTGAATGAAGGAGGCATGGGAGGGAACCTTTATGATTAAATTTGGTAACAAACCTGTTAAGTCATGTAGAGAGCTTTTCTGAAAGATTTATTTGACAGGCAAAAACATTATTTGATGCATTTTACAGGACATACCTTTCCTCAATTTGCAGCTTAATATAAGGGTCTGAGGAAATACTTTACACTTCATTTCCATAGCTGCTATATCTGTTCTTTGTTTTAACACAGTGAAACAAACTAATGCAAAACTGACAGTCCTCCAAATATTAACAGAGGGGCCCTTTAGCATTGCAATTTTATGGCTCAGGGCCACCAGAGAACACTAATCCCTCTAGGAGAGATTTACCTCCTTCAGTATTCATTGCCTCAAAACTCAATATCTGGTCTATGTTAATAGCCCAGGTACTCCCGGGAAGAAAAATAAGCATTTCCAGAGGGCATTTCACCCATCTTCTGCCTGCCTCCTCCTGAGTTCCATAGGCCCTGTACCACAGCTTGTACTTGCAGTAAGTTCATAACCATTCTTTGGCCTTAGCAAGTGGAAAGCAATTTCCAGAAGCTATGGTTCTAGTCTCATGAGGATATGTCATTTGATAACGACAGCAAAACCATGGTACAGTTATTAAAGCACAGTATTATTAACTAACTAAAATAGCTGTGCTTTAAAAGTGATGTGTATCAAATAGTGCTTGTTAAATTACCTTCACCTGTGTAAAATTAAATATCTCATTTTCCAAGGTGCAAAGCTGAAAAGCATCTCTGCTTGTTTGCATTAAACACCTCAGGAATGCCAGGCACAGTGCATTGTGTGTACTAAGGTGACTGTCTAACATTTTCCTATGCTTTTTCAGTGACCCTCATTGTGCTGTTTTGAGTAGTTCTGTGAGAAGGCCCAAATCAGCAGTGATAAGAGCAAGGGAAAACCAAACCCCACAGGCATCACTAAGCCAAGATCTTCAATTTTATGAAGCTTTTTATAATGCAGATGGTAGCATAATGGCAGACAAAACTTTGTTTCTCTTATCTTGAACTGAGCTCACCTCTACCAGGCATCCTCTCCAGTAGCTAAACCACATTCCACCATGCTGTCTTTCTTACCCATCCTGCAAGTGTTAACTCTGGTTGTGTATCCAGTGCCATGGTGTTACCAGTGCTGTTGCCAGATGTTAATGAGTTGCAAGGAAACGTTTACAAGATCTAGACTGAAGAACAAGTTTTCTGAGCAGTGCTTGATCTCTTTTTGGTCAAATACCTAGCATTTTGTATGAACTACCATGATGTTATACTATCGTGTAATTGTTTTGGTGACAAAGAGGGAGGTGCATGGTCTGCTCTATCCACATGCAGCCCTTATCCATCCAACTCAGTGTTTTCTTGAGGAAAAAGCAAGTTTCCATTAAGACTCCAAACCAGACCATAGTCATCTGTGGAATGATGATTAACTTCTAATTTCATGAATTTGTAACAGTGAATTAGAAGACTGACCAGCAAAAACGTCAAAGATAAGGGTCACTGGAAAATAAAAGATGTATATGCAAGGATGTCCTAACCCACTTGGGCATCCTGTAGTAGGCAGGACTGGGTCCTTTATCCTAAAAAGAAGTGGAGGCCTAAGATAGCTTTAAGATCATCTTAGGTACATTGTGAATAGAGGGTGAAAGGTTCTGCTGACTGCATGGCACAATAGATAGAAGATAGTAATATAAATTATCACTATTATTGCCATATACAGGCATCTGATTAAAGCCTAAGTAAATGTCAATGCTAACTAGCCCTAGACTTCTTAAATTCTCAAATAGTGACATTTGAGAAAGTTCTTGAAATATTTTGCCATCACAGCAGTCTACGTAGAGAAAGTCCAGTGTACACAGTTGGCACAGTTGCATTTACTGCATGTACTGCCACAGCAATGCAAATTTCTGCTTCCCGAAAATATGTACAATTGCTTTCTCATGGAGAAATGAGCCTGTTAATCCATATTTGAAATTTCCCTGCACCTTGATCCACAAGCAACCTCTGTCAAGCCTCATGGCTTTCAGCATCCAAAAGCCGCTGTTTTTTTATGGCATAGGGTCATCCAGCTCCCCTTTCACTGCTGAAACTGCAGCCAACCCAGAGGTTACATTAAACTTCTGCTCCTACTCGATTGCACTGCATCCACCTGGGCCCTTGAATGCTGGCAGGGCAGCTACAGAGGGAGCCTTATACCAGTAACTGCACGAACAACCAAGCTTTGACTGCTGCCTGTGGATGTGCTTGCAGAATGTTTCTAGAGCATTCATTCTGTGGTGGAGGCTGAAAGCATATTTTTCCAGTCTCTGGTCATGAGGAGGGTGTCAGTCACTCAGTAACTCCCTGGGTTGCTTTCATTTCATGGTAACCTCACACAGTGCAGCTCACAAGGGTCTCTTTCAGCTGAGGCATGCTCTTGCATACACATTTACATATACATGGCATACTATGACATGACATACTATGGCATTATGTATAACAATACTATGAATGATTTTTCGTATTTGAAGGCTTTCACCTAATACTTGTGATATATGTAGCCAAAAACATTCCTGTTGCAAACCATCAGCAGAGCTTATTGACAGGCAGACGAAAAAAGAACATGATGAGCTCCAGCACCCAACAGACCAAGCCACCCATGCTGCCTGTAGGCTCCCTCCCTCCCAGACTCCATTTTGGCAGAACTGATCTCTCATGCGAACTGGGTTTGGTTCACACTGTGTTATGACATTGCCATCCCTCCCCTCCCACCCTAGCCTCAGTGCTCAGTGCACGCACACACACAAAGGAGGAGCAGCAGGCAACACAGCCAACATACTGATCATCTTTATGCTGTAGTTTGCCTCTGTTTATTTTTCAGTGTCCTATTTTTCTATGTGGTAAGAATGGAAGTGTTCTCAATAGCCCTGGAAAAGAGGAAGGACACTGTGAAGTCGTATTATCTTAATTTCCCTCCATGATCCCACTTCACTGACCATGAACTGAAGGAATGGTGTCTCAGAAATGGGGGTGCAGGGAACATTACAAGCTAAGCTGCTGTGTAAAGATAAATTCTTTGTCCTTGGTCGGTCACCATGCCATATTTTCAATGGCTCTGGGCCAGCCAACAGAGCAACAATCAGAGTGAGGCCATTTATTTGAATAACTTCACCACTGACCACAACAGCTTTGGTCACAGCTGATCATAGTGCTGTAGCCATTGTGGAAGAACCTGCATGGGTGAATGGCTGGGCTTGGGCAAGGGCATTTGGGCCTGCTGACTGGAAAGAATAAGAAAATTAAAAAGAAAAGAGGAAGGAAAAAAAAAAAGAAGAAGAAGAAAAAAAAAAGGAAAAAAGATAAAAGAAAAGAAAAAAGGAGAAATAGAAAGCAGATAAAAACCAGGAGGTAAAGGAGGGAAGGAAGGAGAAAGGAAAGGGGGAAAAAAAAAAAATGAGGAAGGAAAGAGAAAGAAAAGAGGAACTGAGCCAACACTGAGCGGGCACCAATTGAAGTTCAACATGCCACACTGCAATCTCTTTTTTAGTTTGCTGTAGTTCAATTACTGCATTTGTTTATGCTTGCATGAACTGCACTACAAAATCTGACACTTTTTCTGTGATGCACAAGGAAAAAAAAGAAAAAAAAAAAAAACCAACCATAAGAGAAATCAGTATCGAGCATGGACAACTTATTAAAATCCCTTTCGAAGAGCAAGAGCACGGGGACGTGGCTGCGGATCTGCACTGAAGTGTAACTTCTATAGAAGCGTGCCTTTGCAGCCTGACCCTGCCCGCTGCCGGCAGACGTGAGGGCAGAGGCAGGAGCCTTACTCACCCCTCATCAGCACCTCTGAGGGAGTCGTTGCAGGCACCTGGCCTCCTGCTCCTTGCGACTTGCTGCCGTTTTGATTCATTCCCTCCTCATCCATCTCAGCCCCGTCTGTCCAGTGTCTGTTTTCTCACTTCACGGTCACTCGAAGGAGTTCAAATTCCATCGTTCACGACGAGCCCCCGCGTGCAGGAGCGATCTGCCCAGCAGATAGGCGCAACAGAACCGGCCGCAGACTGACACTGGTGCTGCACCGCTTTGTGCAGAAACTTAAGTACCTAGGCTGGAGTTAGGGAAACACCTCCCTGGCCGTGCTGGTAAACAGCCAGTGATCAGGCAGACCACACTGCACGAAGCGAGAGATGTGCCTGATGTCATATCCTCCCCAACCCCGCGCCCAATCGGGGAGCCGGCCGGCTGTTTTTATCAGGAAGGAAATTGTTGGTTTGCCAAAAAAAAAAAAA